CCTTTTGGCTCTGTACATCCCCTGAGAGTGTAGAATGATTCAGTGGTAACTTAGTCATTTGCACACTGTACAAGATGATTTTACTGGAGAGGAAAAAATAAAAGCTGCACTTATCAGTGGAACACTTTCTGTTAAATAAAGATAATTAAAGCATCAACGACACATCCATTTCATGTTTAATTAGCCCCTCTCTCATCATAATTTGCTACTGAAGGTCAAATGTGGGTCACTTTTAAAAACAAATTGTCAAATATTTAACATAATGCAAAATGAGAACCAAAAATTGAAAATACTTCTGTACTCTTTCCACTAAACGGTATGAAAGTTAAATGTATGAAAGAAGTCACCAGTTTAAATGCTTATACTCAATAACAATGTTCTCTTTTTTTTCGACATGGCAGTTAGTGCCATCATGACATTGTTATTTTTATGATAATTACACTGTAGTATATTTGCTTAGCTCAAAGTTGTGAAAAATTTTATTCTTTAGAGATGTTTGGGAATATAAAAAATAGCTTCTCTGTGTATGTGTGTGTCTATCATAAACAAGAGGAAAGATGATGCCTTCCTGCATGGTTAAACTGATTGCCTCCCTACAGATGAATTTGGGGTCCTATTAAGGCTTCTGGGTGTATGTGGATATTTATGAGGAAATTGAACGATTTAGATTCTTGATACAATTGACATATATGATAACCAACTAGGCAAAATGCTTCTGAAATATTGCAGCAGAGTGATTAATTTTTGAAATTTTATTAAATAAATTAACTGAACAAGGTTTTTTTTTTGTCCCAGAAATTAATTTCTATGTATTTCACTTTCAGGGAAGCAAAACTTTACAGGAAATGCATATAATTTAATTAGAGTGTCAGCACACTGGTTTGATAAACCTTTTTCTTCATGAAACAGTACATTTTCAATGAGAAAAGGAATTGGGATTTTTCCTAAAGAATTACAGAGCTGGTTAAGAAGCCAATATCTGAAGTACAGAAAAAATTCCTTTACTGCTTCTGCAAGTTCCACTGGTACTGACCAATATCTTTTAAAAAATAAGAAGTAAAAAAAAACCCTCAGCATCATAACTGAAGTGTTTTAAAGAGCCAGTAATCATTGCTTAGTAGAGCAAGTAAAAAAAACCAAGATAAGATGATGGCCAAGAAATATAAACATATAAAGAGTATTTAAAAGGCCTGTTCTTCAAAGAGTTGTTGGTAACATGCTGATTCGCGTTTAAGTTTCACTGAAATAAAACAGCTTATATGCCACTATTTTGCACTATGAGACAAAGAGGTGAAGCATATATTATAAAAATATATCTGTAACTAAATTATAAAATAATTATTTACAATTATAATTCATTATGAGATCTATGATTAAGCATGTAACACTCCAAGCTGTTAAGTGATTCCCCTTATGCACTGAGCTTTCATCGTCTTTGGCTGTCTTTGCTGGAAATTCCAATATCCAGGCTCCTCACAGGCAATGTGCAGCACCTAGAGGTTTCAAATTTTTAATCTGTGATCCAGAAAAACACTTACTTAAACTCATCCCCATTCAGTAAAACACTTCTTTACAGCTTTAACTTTTGGCAAGAGATTAAGACCTGTGGAACACTAAGTATTTTAAACATTTGTAGCGCTTTACTGAAAAGGAGAGAATTGATAAGCGAGAGGCTAAAAGAATATTTCAGAGTAATACCATGCTAAGTAAGACAAGGATGAGAATTAAACTTGTTAAAGATCTAAAAAAATAGTGACTGAAATGTCAGAAGTCTACTGAATACAGAATTTTGTTTTAAACTTTATATAAAAGACATGATGTCAGAAGGAGGAAAGTTACAAATTGTTTGTAGTTTTCTCCAATTAAGTTCTCTTATACAGTCCTGTATCAAACATGATGCATTTTGAAACTCATATAAGAATTCAATTCATCACCTTAATAATGAAGTATCAAATCATTGGAATGAAAACAACTTGTGTTCCCTGGGGTGCACCAGTCGGTCATGTAAGTAGAGACTTTATTTCCTGACTACTGTATTGTAGATACAGGAAAGTATCAGTTACCAATTCTAATTACACTAATGGGAAATTAGCATCACTCTCATTTCCAGTAACTTAGAGCAGGTATGTTCTGCTGTGTCCACTTATTTGGTCTAAAATCTTATACACTGTCTAATGTATCTTTAGAACAAAGGGAACTGACAATGAGTAAATAAAGGCAGTCACAGAGATTTCAAGTAGTCTCCCTACCACATCTTCACCATTATGCTACTGGTTCTGTTCCAAATGTACAGCAGAACTATGAAACAATCTGATATACACCCCATCAGAACCCTTTATCTGCATCTGCTTCACATTTCTCTCTAAACAATTGTGCTGAACAAGAGCTCTACGAGGTTTGAGTGTTAAAAATCCTTAGGTGTTTTGCCTGCTAAACTGAGAAATACTACACTGACAATGTTTGAGATGTTGAAAAGCGTACATATTGTTTATGCAAGTAAGTCTTAATGTCCTCGCTACTATGTAAAATGAACAAAAGTATACAAATGTCACTCAGCAACAAGCTGGCAAGTACACATAGGAAAGTGGTAACAGAGGGTTTGTGACTGACAGAGTCGCCCATAAAGTCTGTTATTTAACACTACCTTTACTGTTTTCTTGGACAATTTCCAATTTATATGTATACTTTACAAGTGTGAAAATACTGTCTGCATATTTAAAAATAAATACATAAGACATTAGAATACTGGCTATAAACTACTTGAATAAGTGAACATTCATAACAGGCTAAATATTTAACAAAAGAGAACTATCACCACTGAGAAACTGGTTTGCAGCAAATAACATAAGTAATGGAGCATTTCAAGGTGCACTTCTTTGTAAAAGTGCAATAAAGCCATTTTATTCTACTAAGTTTTCTTGTATACTTTATATCAAAAGAAATCCTTAGAAAATATTAAGTAATTCAAAATATATTTCTGCATTATAACTTCAGGGTTATTTTATCAAGCAATACAGTAATTTGTACAGCATATTCCTTTACCATTCCTACACTTTGAATGCAAATCATTCTTTTACACTGAAATTAAATTACACTTTAACAGATTATAATCCATATGTTTAGACGAATTGCAGCATCAAGAATGAAGTGGTATCTGATTAGCATATATTCCACTGCTACTTTTATTCCAATGTTTGCTAAAATGTCATCATTTACTCTGTGCTAATAAGCCTTAGGAGATGAAAGATATAGAACTTACAAATTTGTATTTTATACAGACTATTCTCAAACTGAAATTCTGATGTACTCTCTAGGAGAGCATTAATTAAATGCATCACACAGAAACTGCTGTGTCAAACATTCTGTAAGTCTGTATCACTTGCAAAACCACATACACAAAAGCACTGGTGGATAGTACAATAGCACTATTTTGGTGACCTGAAAGACTGGAGGGGATGGCTTATACAGTTAGTTTTATGCTACCGTGTTTTAAGTATTTCTGAGCAGAATGTAAATACAGGCAACACTTATAAAACTTCAATTTTAGTAAGCTAGCAAACATTTCAAAGTATGAAAGAATATCATGGTTTACCATATTTGCATGCTAATAAGTGACAAAGAAAGCATTTTTGTCAAACTAGTCAGAACTTCCCTGTTCCAGACTTGGATGTGTAGTTACATGAATCAGCATTCATTTGCCTCTAGCTTCCTGTGTTCCACTGAGGTTGAGAAAACGTTCAGGACATTATCTTATACATACTATCAGTCAAAAAGTATTCCCTCCAAAAACAGAGACCTCTGTTCAGGGCACATATGCGTCTTATAAAATAAACGGAAGCCTTTACTTAGAACCTTGATTCCCCTCTGTGCTATCCCTATCTTATTTCAAGGACTGTAAAGACTGTCCCTACCATCACCAGTTTTAGGCTATCAGAGCTTCACTGAACCGAGCCCCGCCAGCACAGCCGAGACCAGAGCCAGTCACTCGTGGCACCCCTGAAGGCACATTTCGCTCCGAGAGGTCTCACGGCAGTCACATTACAGAGCTGTGCGGCAGCTGGGCGAGCAAATTAGGGCCTCTCAGCGTGAATGAAATTTCATGAGATAGGCAAGGGGCATTAGGAAAAAAAAAAAAAAAAAAAAAAAAGCAATGAAAACATACTGAGGTGCGAGTCTAAACTCACTAACGCTCATGTGTATTCAGAGCAACTGCTGCAATGAGTGCAAATCTCTGTGGTGTGAATTAGAGCGCAGATAGGCTGTGTAGATTATTTAAGCATTTTGGTCCTAATGAAAGACCCGGTAATTACAGCTATTAGCGCTTCTGCGCGGCGGCTGCAAATCCACTCTCACCCACAGCTTTAGGAAGCGTCAGGCAGGCAGCAGCCCCCTTTCCCCGAAACAACTGGCTGCCGAGGTGAAACTTTCCTCCCGAGCCGGCGCTGGCGCGTCCCTAAGGCTGGGAAAGCATGCCAGTGGGGGAAGCGCCGGGACGGGCTGATGGAGGCGGGGCCGGGGGGCGGGAGGGAGATGGCAGCTCCGCCCGGTGGGGGGTCCTGATCTCCCTTCGACCCCCCCAAAACCGCCGGGTTTGTCCTCCGGGCGCGGCTGATAAAGGCATCTCAGGCTGCCTTACAGTTCTGTGTCGGGACTGTCGACAGAACCCCCGGCCTCCGCGGCCGGCTGCCGCTGCGCCTGCGGCGGGGCAACGCGGGGCGGCCGCATGGACGGGCTGGTTGGCTGCCGGATCTGATAAGCGGAGGGAATGATAAAAATTATAGCAATAAAGATGTCTGACTATCCTTCCTTCGTGCTGCGTGCTGGTCTGTGCACCTGACTGCCTGGAGGGAGGGGGCAGGGGCAGCAGACTGAACGGGTCACTGAACCTGACGGGATGTGTGGCTGTGCCGGTGTGGGAGGCGGGGACGGGCATCCCGGCCCCTCACCCGCTCTGTGTGCCTGCGTGTGTGTGCTGGGGCCCGCGGGTGCAGCGCTCTTACCTGCTTGCTGTACTTGCTGCTGGCCTGGCAGCTGTACTCGGAGCAATGGTCCGAGCCGATGGAGATGTTGTCGCCAGCGCCCACGAAGGTGTTGGCTGGGGGCAGGTCCTGCACGGCCTGGTGCTTTTTGCCTGCAGTGGGGGACTGTGGGTGCAGCTGGACTGTAGGCAGCGGTGAGCTCGACTTGTAGTGCCTGGCCAGGTCGGGGCTGCCTGGGCCACCATTGACAGAGCGATATCTGCCCATGCCGGGGCTGTCCGAGAGCTTCTCGTTGACGCTGTCGTAGCGCTGCCCATTGGGCTTGGAAGCCTCAACGGTAACAATGCTGCTATAGAGGGGCTGCTTGCCCTTCTTGCCTTTCTTGTCCTTCTTGGGCTTCTTGGCCTTGTCATGCTGCTGGGGGGTGAAGAAATCCTCGTGGTCCTTCTTTCCGGCCTCATAGCCATGCTTGCCCTTGGATCGGCAGTAGCGGGCCATGACCACCACCAGGATAAGAAGGATGACGGTCATGATGCCAGCTACGACACCAATGACTATGCTAAGTCTCTGCTTGCTCAGCTCATAGCTGGGGTCACCAGCAATATCCTGGGCCAGTGGGATGTGAAGGCTGCGGGCCACCTGGCTCTCCACCACAGTGGCATTGGACAGGCTCTCATTGACAAAGACATGGAGCAGGGCAGTAGTGGACTGGGGTGGCTGCCCACTGTCATTCACCTGCACAACCAGGCGGTGCAGGCCATAGTGCTTGGGGGCCAACTTTCCCACCAGCGACACCACACCACTGGCCGGGTCAATTTCAAAGAGTTTGAAGGGGTTGCCCCCAACAATGCTGTAGTTGAGGTCAGCGTTGAGACCGGTGTCAGCATCAGTGGCGACCACTGTGGCGACCACGGTGCGCATGTTGCTGGAGGGTGGCAGCACGGTGTAGGAGCTGTTGCTGGGGAAGGTGACAGTGGGTGCATTGTCGTTCTCATCCATCACAAAGAGAGACACGGTGGCTGTGGCAGAGCGTGGTGGCTCACCCCCATCCACTGCCTTCACCTTAAAGGTGTAGCTGGTCTGCTGCTCACGGTCAAAAGAGACAGTGGAGAAAATGGTTCCAGTGTCATTCTCTATGGAGAAGATGCCAGCTGCCTGGTCATGGTCTCCAGGCTGGATGGAGAGGCTGAGCTCGGCATTGCGGCCCTTGTCAAAGTCCATCACAGTCACCATGCCCACAGGGCTGTTGGGCTGCAGGTTTTCTTTCACATAGAAGGTGAACACATCCTGCATGAAGCGTGGCTCATTGTCATTGCGGTCTGACACTCGTACCACCACTGTGGTGGAGCCCTGCAGCGATGGCACCCCCTTGTCCCGGGCCGTCACCTGAAATTCATAGGTGTCACGTTGCTCGCGGTCCAGCACTGCCTGCACCGACACATCCCCAGAGTCAGGGTCAATGCTGAAGATGTTGCCCGGTGTCTCTGAGGACAGGGGCGAGGCCTCCAAGGAATAGGTGATCTCAGCATTCTTGCCACTGTCCGCATCTGTGGCAACAACTGTGGCCACCCTCTCACCAGGCAAGTTGTTCTCTGGAAAGGAGACCTCCAGCACGGCCTGGCTGAACATGGGAGGGTTGTCATTAGTGTCCCCGACCCGCACCAGCAAGGAGTTGTTGCTGGACAAGCTGGGGCTGCCTGAGTCCACAGCCACAATCACCACATTATAGTCACGGACAGCTTCATAATCCAGAGGGGCCGAGGTGTGGAGAAAATACTTGCGCTTGTTCTGTGGCTCCCCTTCACCCTCACTGGCCGGTTTGAGCTGGAAGGGCACATCGCCCACCACAGTGCAGGTCACCACACCATTTTCACCTTGGTCCCGGTCTGACACCTGTACCAAGGCAATAGGGGTGTCCACCAGCACATCCTCGGCCACGCTTGCCACCCCATCCCGGAGTGGGATGCGCCCGATTTTCCGGATGTCAATGGTGGGCACGTTGTCATTTTCATCCCGGATGTTCAGCACGACAGTGGCCTTGTCTGTCTTGGGGGGCTGGCCCCGGTCTCGGGCCATGACAGTGAAGCGAAGCTGGTTCACCTCCTCCCGGTCAATGCGGTGCAGGACGCTGAGCCAGCCCGAGGTCTCGTCCAGCCGCAGTAGGCGCCTGACGGACTCGGTGGCCGCCCCGAAGACATACTCGATCTGCCCGTTCACTCCCACGTCCAGGTCGGTGGCTCGCAGCTGCAGGATCGGGGTCCCAGGGCTGCTGTTCTCCGCCAGGTCCGCCTCGTAGACGCTCTTCTCGAAGCGGGGGCTGTTGTCGTTCACGTCGGTGATCAGCACCCTCAGGATGGCCTGCGAGGACCGCGCCGGGTCGCCGCCGTCCCGCACGCGGAGGCTGAGTTCGTAGGAGTCCCGCTGCTCCCGGTCCAGCGCCCCCTTGACGATCAGCTGCGGTTGCTTCTCCCCGTCCAGGGTGTCGGCCACCTGCAGCTCGAAGACGCTGCTGCGGGCCGCCGCCTCCGCCTCCTGCCGCCGCTTGCTGCCGCCGGCAAAGGGGGCGCTCTCGGGGGCCGCGCCGGCCGAGCCGCCCCCGCCGCCGCGCCGGCCGCCGTCCCCGCCGGGCTCCTGCAGCAGCTCGTAGCGCTCGATGCCGTTGCGGCCGAAGTCCCTGTCGGTGGCGGTGGGGAGCAGGTAGAGGGTCCCCACGGGCCGGTTCTCCTCCACGGTGAGAGTGAGGACGGGGGAAGGGAAGGTGGGGGTGTTGTCGTTGATGTCCAGGATGATGACTCGGCCCTCGAAGAGGTCCACCCAGCTCTGCGAGGGGCCGATGACCGACACCTCGAAGTCCAAGAAGCACTCGTTCTCGTCGAAGATCATCTGGCACTGCGGCAGCTTTTCGCGGTCGATGCGCCGCTCTGTGGTGCTCAGCTCCCCGGTCATGTTATCGATCTTGAGATAGTCGGAGCCCGACTCCAGGCTGAATGTCACCTCTCCGGAGCCCGTCACGATCCCCAGGTCGGAAGCCACGTTGCCGATGCGGATGTCGGCGGGTCCCTCCTCGGCCAGCCGGTACTTCAGGAGCTGCTTAGCCGCTGCCAGGCTGACCCAGAGCGGCGGAGGCAGGAGGAGCAAGAAGCAGCAGCAGCAGCAATGCACAAAGCGAAGGAGGGTCCGCATCTTCCTCATCTTCCTCGTACCGAACCCCCCGCCCTCCTCTCACTCACACCTGCTCCCCAATAAACTCCCCTGATAAGCTAACAGACCGGCTGAGAGTCCAGGTGATCAATTATAAAATCCTTCTATTTCTGGAAACTTATTTTCTCATGACTGGTGCAATTGGTGGTCAAAACCCTGCTGCTGGCTTCTCTGCTACTCTCCCTGCCTTCCAGTTGCGATATACTTACAGTTCACGGGACAGTGTATTTTGCTTTTAAAAGATTCATCTCGGTAGATAGGATGGGATTTTCCTTCTCCTCCTCCCCCTTCTCCTCCTCCTCTCTGATTTTACTGTAATCACTTTGCAAGGTTTGCAATAAAAGCAGGAGCAGTACTGTACGATTCGAAGCCCCCCAGGTCGTCGTCTTCAACACTAGAGTTAACTACAATTCACACACTCTCTCTCTTTTCTCTCTTTCTCTCTCTCTCTCTCCCCCTCTCGCTCAGCCGTTTACGACCAAGGCATTAGCTTTATTCTTCCCCCTCTCTGCACACACAGGGGAAAAAATTGTGATTCGCTTTATTCAAAGGGCTTGGCCCGGGAAAACTCCAAATCCTCTTAGCAATGGGCAGTTCTTTAAAAAAAAAAAAAAAAAATAAAAAAAGTAAAAAAGAAAAAAAATCCCAATAATGTCGGTGCTGCACAGCTGATAGGAGAATAACCCCGAGTATTACAGTGCAGTCCACAGAATATCCCCTTTGGTTGGCAGAAAAGCACCCAAATCCATCTTCAGAGATCGCCTAAAATGTTCAGCTCTTTCTCCGGAGCGGATTTTTTTTTTAACAACTCTGCGCAAGGTCATTAGTCACAAAGCAACGATACAGAAACTGCAGAAGCCGTTTGCCCAGAATTTGCAAGGCTGGAGATAAGAACATAGACACACAACAGTCCCAAGTTTGTTTTTGCATCCGCAGTTTGTGTGTGTGCCTTACCTGCATTTGCACTGCATGTGTTATAGCAATCTGGATCTGCAGCACAGAGAGCGATTCACAAATGAGATTGCAGTCTCTCTCTCTCTCTCTCTCTCTCTCTCTCCTCTTCCTTCCCGTCCCAATGCAGGTAACCAGATCTGAACTTGATCCTTTCAGTTCAAAGGTTAGCAACAAAACTATGTGTCCAAAGGCGATTATTGGTCTCTTGTAATTATACCCGGAGCGGAACAAGATGTAACTGGATCCCCCATGTGAATTAACACAGATTCTGAATTACATCCATATAAAGCGGAATGGCAAAGGGGAGGGGAAAAGAGCCGCGACGCGATTAAAAAAAAAAAAAAAAAAAAAAAAAAACCACACAAAAAAAAAACCTGAGTTCTATTTGCAAATAAAATTGTATCAGTCAGTTGTTTCCTGTGATCTGCACCGCCACAGTGGGTGAAATCTGCAATTGTGTATTCCCTCCTGTGTCTTTCAGAGAAGTGTGGATCAGGCGCTTTCACGGCAGAGCGGCTTGTGCTTTAAAATGTTGAATGGCAATTGAGAAGCTTCCCACTCGTAAGGAAAAAAAAAAAAAAAGAAAAAAGAAAAAAGGAGGAGGAAAAAAAAAAAAAAAAGAAGAAGAAGAAGAAGCGGTAAACCGGCAAGTTTGCCCAAAGTGGAGGGAGCTGCTGAAGCCTCTCTCGGTAGCTCTTCCCTGACGCTGCAGCAGCAGAGCCGCCTGCGCTACATACACACAGAAAGAGAGAGGGAGAGAGAGAAAGAGGGAGAGCAGAGGGAGGGAGGGAGAGAGAGAGAGAGAGAGCGGGAGGGAGGGGGGGGAGGGGGGAGGAGGAGGAGGAGGGAGGACGAGTCAAGCGCTGCACTCCAGAAAGCTCAGTCTTACCCTCTGTCTCTGCTGCTAGTGCTGCAAGTGGGATAGCTGCTCATCACAAAACATCAGTTCAGACCTCAAAACCGATCCTCATTTCACGCCCGAGTGTTGCTTCTGTTGCTTTCTCAAACCCCGTGATCTGTAGTGATTTTCTCCTACCCTTTCCCTCCCCACGTCCGCTATAGACTGTGAATCGAGCAACGATTTTTAAAGCAAATGTTTGTTCGCCTTTCTTTTCTTCTATTCTGCATTTTGCGGAATCAAGCTGGTAAGGAAACTCGTTTCGCAGATTCCCACCTTCCCCTGTTGTGTCGGTGCTTTTGTGAAATAGCTGCAGTCACTGTAACTGCATAAAACTCTAGGGAGGAAGGGGGACTGCCTTAGATCTCAGACTTTCGTCCTGTTTCCCAGCGCTGTTTCAGCCTATCGGTCTTTGTGATTGTGTTCTTCCTATAACCATGTTTTGAATGTGTCTTTTCAGCATGCTTGTGGGTATCCTAGGAGGGTAAAAAAAAATCCCTCGGAGAAGATGATCAGGAAAGGAACGAGAGGGTTAGTAGAATAAACACATATAAGAAGTAACTGATTTATTTCCGAACAGAGACTTGCTGCTTCGATGATTGCTAAAATGTAGCGTCACCTACCTGGGTAAGTGGGAAATAAACTTTAATGGTAAAGCTCTCCGGCTCAACTTTGCTTATTCTGACGTCCCTAGTTCGCGTCTCCTTTTGACTTTGAGCCGTTTAATCGCCTGTGGCTTTTGTGTGCTCTCGCCCTACCCTTGGTGGTGCCTGGATCCTTACCTGTCCTCTTTGCTCGGAGCCCTGAGGGAAAAGAGGGAGACTCCGGGGGCAGGCGAGCGTGGGGCAGCCAGCGGGGAGAGAACGAGCGTGTGCGGGTGTGTGCGGGTGTGTGTGAGGGTGTATGTGCACATGTGTGTGCGGGTACATGTGTGCGTGCGGGCAGCGAGGGCAAGGCAGGAATCCAGCTGCTCTTTCTCCCTCTGTGAACACATGTGGGAAAAACAAGTTGTTGCGCGTTCTGTATGTGTTTGTGTGCAGTACATTCCTCGTTACATATGGCTCTTTTGAATAAGAAGGCATGCAGACGAATGTAGTGAAATGTCTCTTTCATCGCGATGATATATTTGAGCGAAAAGCAGCCGGATATGTTGAGGTGGTTCAAAGCAGCGGTCACAGCGTGTCTTTGTCATTTGGGGCGGTGAGTGATTGTAGGAGGGAGGGAAGGTTGCCACCTCTTTCCTTGAGGAGTCCAGAGACACAGAGGGGCAGAACCACGCCGCATGGAGTCGGCGCTAGGGAGGGAGGGACTGCTCCCTTCTCCGGAGGGCTGCAGGGCTGCTCCTCCGGCGCCTCCTCCGGCCCTGGCACCGGCCCCGGCCGCCCCCTCTGCCTCGCCAGAACACGAAAACCCTCCCCCGCCGATGCTGGAGACACTCGGCTCTCTATCTGCAGCATCAGCGAGAAAGCCCAGCTCGGCGCAGGCTCAGTGCTCACCGCCGCAGTCCCGGACGGAGGAGGGGGGTTCGGGAGCGCAGCATCTTCGCAGCGGGTTAAGTAGGATTAGTACCAAATCCCTATTATATTTGCCAAGCAACTTGAATTTGTCAAAATTCCCCCTCCCTGTTCTGGAGCTCCGTGAGGAGGAAATTTTGCTCACAGTGTAAGATCCAGGCATGCCAGTACGTAGGAATACCAGCATACTGCATTACACTGGCTCCCTGCACTGGAAATACAACTGCGAGCAGCTCCCCCTGTTCCCGTCCCTTTGTGTTTTTAAATGCAGCCAGGAAACTTAATGTATTCGCCATGGAAGGGGCGGGATGAGAGCGTTTTTAACCTCCGCGCCATAAACTTTAATCGGATTCCGGGCTGTTGCACGGCATGGACGCTCGCCTTCTTGCCTGCGTCTCCTTCCCCGTTGTTTCTACCACGGTCTGCTTGAGAGTGCCTCTTTCAAGAGGATGAGTGATTTCTTTCTCTTGCCATGTGCAATTGCTCCCCCTTCCCTTCCTACCCTCGCTGGCCTCTCTTACACACACTATGCCTTTCACACGCGGTCTGCGCCCCCCAGCCCCCCCTCCCTTTCTTTCTTTTTTGCAGTGTCTTCACATGCAATCTCTCTCTGAATGTGCAATGTCTTTCCTGCTCGGGAGTGCTGCGTCCTTCACAGTGGATTGGTTCCTCTTTCGGAGCAGAGGTAACGGCCCCCCCTTTTCTATCGTTCTCTCTTCCTCCCTCCCCTCCTCCCCTCCTCCCCCAGGGCAGGCGGCCGGCGTGGGAAATGGGCCCGACGTGCGCTGCATGGTGGATGGCCGCGCTGTTCCCGGTCCACGTGCCCCGGCTGCCGGGGGGAGGACGGGGCTGTGCTGCCCGTGTGTCCCCCGCGCCCCCCCGCATCCCACTCGTTCGTGCGGGGAGAGAGGTGGAATTACCCCCGCACCCTCTCTCCGCCTCCCCGGCACCGCAGACTCCCGGTCCCGCGGCCCGTGCGCCCACAGCTTCCCGGGTGTCGGTAGGAACAAGCCCGGCTATTTCAGGCGGGGGAGGTTTGTCCCTCTCGGGCAAATCTGTTGCGCAGTGTAACTCCCCCCGCCGCCCCCCTTTTCCGATGCACACAGACGCCCACACGCGCTCAGACACGACACGGCATTTGTCCTCCTGATCTGCTGAGATCAAGTGGGAAGAGGGATCACAAATGTAATCGTCTGTAATAAATAAAATAGCCCGAGATGCTGGTGATATACAGAGGGGAAATAGGAGCTTGTGTCCTTAAAGGGAACATCTGATAAGGCCACCGAAGTGGCATCTTGTGTGTGGGAAGGAATCCGTCTTGCTGACAATCGCAGCCTGCTGTACGTGGGGAAAACCTAAAGCAGCCTGGGAGCTTCCCCGGCTCTCTGCATCCCCCGAGCTCCCGATGCGCTGCACTGGGGCTTTGTTGTCGTTGTTGTAGTTGTTGATTGGAAAGACAGGGGTCGTCGTTAAAATATGCAGATATAATTAACGGCTGCTTTATCTTCATGTGCTGGCTGAGCCCGGCTTCTGCCGCCGGCAGCCGAACTCGCGTCCGCAGTCGGCGCTTTCAGCCCACAACTTGGTTTTTACAGTTTAGGAATGTCAGTGGCTCTCACTGGAAAATTACTTCTGAGATCTGCAGTGGGAATCAGTCTCTAGTTAAAGACAGATTATTTTCATATCCATACCACTGTATACGTTAACAAATACGTACTGCATATTGCTATTAGCACTCACAAAGGAAAAAGAAGACTCAAAAAGGAAAAAAAAATATTGCCTTGAAAGTAACGTATTCATAATAATACGTGGAAATGATTAAATGCAGTAAACATGACTGAAAATTCGAAAGTAGGGTAAAACCAAGGACAGACCCCCCCACATGAAGCAGTTAAAGCCATTTGACGGAAAGGCGAAACTAACTCAAGAACTCCACCAAGGGACAAGCAGCTGAAATGACACCACAGCAGCGCGGAGCCCGCCGTGACCTTTCATCTCTCCAAAGTGTCTTGCTGATCTGGTGCAATTCTGTTGTGACCTCTTCGCTCCCTTCCCTACCACAAGTGCCCTCTGGCCGCCTCAGAGCTCCCTGAGTTCCTCGCAGTGAATGTACTGGGAGGCCGGCTGAGTTACAGGGAGTGCTGACACTTGGCCAGTGTCTTTCACAGCTTTGCTAATATGCCTGCTGTGTAGTAGCATGTAATAGGCAGCAGTGATTAAATTATTCATTGCAGCAACAGCCTTTCTGATGGACATTAAAATGTTAGAGTTTAAATAAGAAACCACAGATTTACTTTTAAGCAGATAAAACCCACATCTGTGCTTATTTAAGTGAATGCTAGCTAAGCATGAAACCAGTTACTTTGTTAAAATCCTCTCTCTTTTACTCTCTTTGAGAATTTTGAGCTAGATTATGCACCATAAAAGTTACTGACAGAGCAGAATTAATCTATGTTGGATAACAGTGGTTAAATCTCGCATGATTATAATCATTCATTCTTAAACTCATATCTGAAGTCTGTTCAAAATGAAAGGTTCTTGCATAGGCATGATTCCCTCAGCCTTTTCTGAATTCTGACATTTATAAACAATGATCAAAATTAATATTTAGCAAAGAGATAGTAATTCTGTTTACTAAGATTTTTGCAGTGTGCATATATTCCTTACAAATCACTATTACTAGCATTGAAATGTTATTTTTCTTTTCTTTCT